AGTGTATGGATCCGAGGCCGTTTTACCCTTGGAAATAAAAATCCCTTCACTCAGGATTGCAGTTCAGAATCAAATCACAAACGAACAAAATGCAAAACTGCAGTTGAAGAGCGAAGTCTCCAAGTAACATAATTTAAATTTAGAAAGACTAAATTTTCTAATTAAATTAATCTCAATTTACAATCTAGTTTTATGCACAATTAAGATTAAAAAGACTAATGAAATTCATAAAATTTAAACACATTTCAAAACCAATTCAAATCTAAAGCAAACACAACAAATATTGATATTAATAAAAAGATTACAAGATCAATTAATAATATCAATATTAAAAAAAAAGAAAAAATACACTGAACTTTCAAATAAACATAACTAAAACAAAAACTGATACATGAAACATCTAGAAAATCAAAACCCAAATCTCTATTCTTCTGGAGGAGGAGGAGGAGGAGGAGCACCACCAAAGAAGTTGAAGTAGGAATTCATCAACATAACATTGGTATTACTTTCATGAACTTCATTTCTTATATTACCAATATCCTGTTGTTGCTGCTGAAGTTGACCATCAATTTGATCAAATCATTGATCAAAATGAGTCTCAAGTCTACCAAATCTCTCAACCAAATTCTGATAATTTGGTTGAGGTGCAGATGTTTGTGCTCCTTCTTCTTCTTCTTCTTCTTCAGAATCACTGGCATATCATTTCCCTTTGTCTTCCTTGAAGATCGCTCTAAAAGAAGCATCGTTGTAGTAGAGCGGCTCTTCATACTCTTCATCAGGATGCACTAAATTGTATTTCTTTTCCAAAATAAAGGTAACTAAGTGACCTAATGCAATATTTCTTTTCCTTTTCTGATCCACATGCCCAATTTCAGAAAGCCCATAAAGATAGTCTAAGATAAGTTAGGCTTCATCAATAGGTTGATTTTCCATAATCAAAAAGGTCACAATAGAAAGGAGTGGAGTAATATTTACTCTATCACCAGCTTTTGGAATGATTGAAGATATAGGAATATGCTGTATGATTCGAGCATTTTTGGTTAGTCCAGAAACTCTAGCAATATAATCATTTAGGCTATTTCCTCTAATCACCCTATTGATTTCAAACCACTTGAAAGTGTTATTGTTCATAAGGGTGTGGGCTCTAAAATCTTCAGTTCTTAAGTTGAGAAAAGCACCTAAGTCATGCTTTGTGATTTCAACCTTTTGTATAAAAACAAAAGAACTGACAGAAGAGTTGTCAGAGTTTAAACTCATATTTGCTAGAAAGTAATGGAAAGTATGTTTGTTGTAGAGGTGGATAAGAGTTAGGATAAATTCAAACTGAGTGGAAGCGAAAAGATGCATTACCTTGTAGTTAATCTCACTCTGGATCAGAATGCGATATGGAGTGATTTTTGCATAATCAAATCGAGAAAAGGATTTCTCATTTGCTTTTGAAAGAAAGTTCTCGGAAGGATTCCTATGGGGTTTCTTCGCTAAAACCTTTTGACGTTTGCTAGAGGAGGCCATTGTTGATCTAGAAATCGAAAGCGATTGAAAGAGATGTTTGGCAGTGTGATTGTTGAGTTAGAAAGCCCTCTTATTTAAAGAAAACGATACGTTCATCCTAGACGAAAAATGTTCGTCCCGAACGAAAATTATCGTTTGTCTGGATCAAAAACTTTTGTATAGACGATCGAATTTGTCCAAAATGAAACAGCTTTTCGTAATCAACACAACTTATGATGCATCCTTTCGTACAGACTTTTGCTTGACCGATCGTACAGACGATCACATGTTCGTTCAAACGATCACACTTGTGATCATTTTAATGGTCGTTTTAAAACCGTCCCCTACATTGAACCGCCATGTTTTCGTCCAGATGAACTCCAGGTTCATACAGACGAAGTTCATTAAAAATTACCCTATCCACTCAACCGTTTTCTCAATTTTTCGCACAGTTACTTAAAAATTTCATCCCGTACGATCTGAGGATCGTACAGACAAACTTAATTAAAAACTAAAAAAAACTACACAAATCAGTATTAAAATCTGACAATTTTACGCATTCCAACACATCGTCCCGTACAAAAATTTTTCGTCCTGGACGATCTGCTTTTAAAATTTTTTTTTTTGTATTTTTATCAAAGCAAATAAAAATAAACACACAAAACAAAATGAATAACAAAAAATGTACATACTCTAAATAAAAATCACTCAAAAACAAACAAAAATCACAAAATGACATAAAAAAAAACAAACTATGAAAACAAAACATCAATGTGGCAAAAAAAAATTTATTTAAGTATTTAAATCAATCACACCAAGCCTTGTTCTTAATGCACTGAAAGTATCAAAGGCTAAAGGTTTAGTAAAAATGTCTGCAAGTTGATTTTCAGTAGAAACATGTGTAATTTCAATTTTACCTTTTGAAACATGATCCCTTATGAAATGATGCCTTATGTCTATATGTTTGGTTCTTGAATGTTGAATAGGATTTTTAGAAATGCAAATAGCACTAGTGTTATCATAATAAATTAGAATAGTGCCTATTATTAATCCTAAGTAAATCAATTGTTATTTCAAACAAAGTACTTGTGCCACACAACTTCCTAATGCAATGTATTCAGCTTCAATAGTAGATAGGGCAACTGAGTTTTATTTTCTACTGGACCAAGTCACTAAAGAATTTCTTATAAATTGACATTTTCCAGAAGTGCTTTTTTTATCCACCCTACAACCTGCAAATTCAGAATTAGAATAACCAATTATTTCAAAGGAAGTACTAAACTTAGGATATCAAATTCCTAAGTTTTGAGTTCCTAACATATATCTTAAAATCCTTTTCACTGCTGTCAAATGTGATTCTTTTGGATCTAATTGAAATCTAGCACACAAGCTAACACTAAACATGATATCGGGTCGGCTAGCAGTCAAGTAAAGTAAATATCCAATTATCCCTCTAAATTTCTTTTGATCAACAGATTTTCCCTTAGGGTCCTTATCCAACTGAACTGAGGAACTCATTGGTGTACTAAAAGGTTTAGCATTGTCCATTTCATCCTTTTTGAGGATGTCCTTAAGATATTTAGATTGACTAAGAAAAGTACTTTCCTCATTTTGCTTAATGCTAAAGCCTATAAAATAACTTAAATCTCTCATTAAACTCATTTCAAATTCACTACTCATTGTTTTAGAAAATTCATCACAAAGATTTTTATTTGAAGATCCAAAAATGATATCATCCACATAAATTTGAACAATGAGTATGTCTTTTTCAAATTTCTTTAAAAAGAGTGTTGTATCTACACTTCCTTTTTCAAATGATCTTTTAAGTAAGAAAGTGCTCAACCTGTCATACCAAGCCCTAGGTGCCTGTTTCAATCCATATAATGCCTTTTTCAACTTAAAAACATGATTTGGGTATTTAGAATTTTCAAATCCAGGTGGTTGTTCTACATAAATATCTTCTTCTATTATCCCATTTAAAAAGGCACTCTTAACATCCATTTGAAATAATTTAAATCCTTTAAAACAGGCAAAGGCTAACAAAACCCTAATTGCTTCAAGTCTAGCTACAGGGGCAAAAGTCTCTTCAAAATCA